CTAAACCCTAAACCCCAACCCTCTCAAGCATGGCTGGAGGTCCAGATTCAGTACAAAGGCAGGGATGCTGCTCAGGTCCACAGCAGACTTCACCTTCTGCAGTGTTTCTGGTGTCGTGGGACCAAGTAAAGGTATGTTCTTGTAAGTAAAAACGCCTGTGCAAAAAAGATGATGCTCTTCCTCTAACCTACTATAGAGACAAGGAGTATATGACCTTCCTCTATATTGGGCGTACACTCTTCCCCCTAAAGCAACACCACTAGACCGATATCAGGGTTGCGAGCGTGGGGTGAGGGATTCAGGCTTCAGAGTTGAGATGTGCCGTGCTAAGAGTGGCATACTAGAGGGTTCTTAATCCAGGGCTGCACTTTTCACGACTGAACACCTGGGCGCGAAGGACGTAGGATTTAGAGACTGCTTGTTCTGGTTACTGATACTTAACCATAAAAGTGTCTACCTATAGGTATATTTTTATACATAGAGAGACATATGAAATGTACCTGCAGACAGATAGGTACAGATAGATAGGTAGATAGGAAGACATGCAGATAGATAGGCAGACCGGTGGATAGGTAAGCAGATGGATCGGGGGGATCGCAGGCCAGTTTAGGGTTTAGGGTCAGGAAGATCATGATCTGCCTTTCTCAGTAGGCACACTACATACATGCGCGTATCCTTCCATTAATGCAGGGATCCGGAGACCCCACTTGGAGGGTCAGGAACTTAGTGAGTAGGTTGATAATGGGGATAATTAGGGTTGCCATAATATGGGTTATAGGGGTTATTTACCTACTCTAAGTCCCCCTGACCCTCCAAGCAAGGAAAGAGACTCACACATCTTGGTTCAGGATCCGTCTGCTCTTTACGAACTTACATGACTAATTACTCAATCGGGAAGTCCAGGCACCCTAGACCAGGACTACGTAGTCAATAGGGTTCCGGTGGTTTGTGAGGATGCAAGGGCCTGAGTTCTGTAGGGAGCATACAAAAAATGCGGACTCACTATTGCCGGGGTACTGCCCCCACAACAGTCTATATGAGGGGTCATACTAAGAGTTATATACAACTATGACATAATTATTATTCCAACTGTTACAGATCTCTTGGTATCTTCACGACACCCATTCGGGTGCTAAGTTAGGACGCCGTTTGCCGTCAAATGGTTAGAAGCCTATGGAACACGCAGGAGAAACCATTGACTTGAGAATGCACTTTGATTAACATACTAACCCCTGCCGAGAAACCTAAACCCTAAGCCCAAAGCCCTAAATCCTAAACCCTAAACCCTAAGCCCTAAACCC